CTCTCTGTACCCACTCCAGCTAGCACAGCACTAATGATTAATGATTGCTTGCTGAAGAGATGAATAGGTTTAGGGAGATTCATAAAGGATGCTTTCTTATTTCCTCTTTGAAAAAGGTGATGGTAAAATGTGAGTGCCACTAGGGGGCACAGAATTATAACAGAATTTTCCCGTCCACTTGCTCAAAGGAGAGGTTTGCCTTCTGTATCAACCTCTTCACACAGTTTCTAAGTATATGTATCTTAGAAAGATCAAGTAACTGTATTCAAATTATTTCCAGAAAGAAGTGTTTAAGCAGTTGGCTGAAAGAAAAACAGTAGCGCTGCCGTACTAACACGTCAGAAAAAGAAAAATGAAATCAGGCATAGCCAAGCACGATAAAAAGGGTTTTGTGAATAAAACTGAAGGTAATGTTAGGAAAAAGCTAAACATGTAAATACAATTCCAAGACATTGATACTACACGATTTGGGACTGTTTTAAAATGTTGAATCAAAAAAAAACTATGCGGGGAAGCCCTATTTCTGCAGGAAAAGTGAACAGGAATATTAAATCTATTTCTGTGTTTAGAATAAAACCCCAAGTCCTGTTGTACAACAGCTACTAGAAACTTTCCAACACCTCTCTTCTGGTAAGAAAAACAGTCAAAATTATTAAGACAATAATAGGCTAAAGCTTTGCATTTCAAAAGTTAATATAGTTTCGTAGTTAAAAATCTGGTTTTTTTTTTGTTTCTGTGGGTTTTGTTTGGTCCTGTTTTTGCATTAAATACCTGTAAGTTTGAATCCAGACTCAACTGCTTATTAGTTCTTAAAAATTATTAACTTGTTCACACCTCAGTTTTTTCCCTATGAACTGGATACGATTGCAGTGCTCACCTAAGAGGCTGTTGTCAGAATCAAGTGAAATAATTCTTGGAAATCGCAGGGCCTAGTGCACAGTAACCACGTGCTAAATATTTGCTATTATTTTGTTTTGACAATGGTGATTGACACATTATTTTAGTAATTCCTAGGAAAGTAAATTTTGATAGTTCCTGGGATGAAAATGGTGAGAATTTTTGAGCCCTTCCCACACTATGTGTCTGGTCCCCGAGCAGCTTCTCTTCACACCTGCATCCACTCACACCTGTACCTTTTCTGCATCCCTGGGCAGAGGCTGTTCTGAAGGGGCCATGCCTCATCCACTGAAGGCAGGGCTGCTGTGTTAGAACCCTCACGTAGTCTGGCCAGGCTCTTACGATCTCTAATGTTGCCCTGGGTTCTCTAATTTCTACTTGTTGGTGAAACACATTGAGAATCTCAGCATCATGTCTCCTAGATGAGAATCCTCGATGGACTAAAAATGATACCCGTGGTACACAATGCTGATACATTTAAAATAATAAGAGGAAGTAAATGTATGTAGTGTATCAATGGTTATAATAAGATACCTGAGAAACATAATTATAGTTGCTATGCTTGTGGGTTTGGTGATGATCCGATAGGAGGGAAATAAAAGCTAAGGGAAAGGGTGGCATAGCTTAAAGGGCATTCCACTCAAGAGTTAGGGGACTTCGGTCCTTCCTCCAAAGGCCAACAGCCAAGTCTTGGACAAGTCGCTGAACAGCAGCCTACAGTGGATTTCCATTTCTTCATCAGCTAATGTCCCTTTTGCTCTAAGGTTTGAGGATTTATTTGTCATTACCATCTGGTTGACCCAGCAACTCACAGTGGGTGAAAGTGCATTCATATCTCTAAAAAGTAGCACTTCCATCAGTCACTAGATGATCAGAACCATGACAATGACTTGATGGGAGGTGTGTTGAAGTGGTAGCGCTGTGGAAGAGGGGGAACTGGCGGGGGGGCCCAGACAAGAAGGAAAGGGAGAGAGTCATGGGGTCACTGACATTCTGTGAAACCAGCTCTGCCTTAAAAGTCTTCCCTGGGTACGTCTAGCTCTTGTATAGAATTTTCCATGTTGCTATTTTAGAGTACCCTTCAGATGAAAAATATAATGGGATAGAAAACACATTGAAGTAAACTATTTCTAGGAACTATTTTCAGTTGAAACTATCTCCAGGTAGACCTCAGAGAATAAAAGTTTCCACGGTCATAAATTTCAGGCAGGCATCTTACAATGCACTGAAAGCACTCCCATCTTCAAAGAATGGGGAGTGGACATCATTTCACATGCTCTATACTAGAAATAAACATTTGCTTTGAAAACGGTGGTCATCTTTTCCCCTTAACCTCTTTATAATGTTTTAATGTAATTATTATGGTTATAATATACACTACTGTATTGTTTTACTCTTTGAGCTATATATGCCACCCTCTCTTGTGATATTAGGTTTTAATATTTCAACAAAAAGAATGAAAGGCAGTTTCCTAGCAACATCTGTATTCAAAGGCACAAATAGAGAAAAAGCATGATCACAATACTCTGTTTTCCCCACAGTTAATTCTTGCCTTTTGAGGGGAGTTAGCTGGCAGTGAAGAAGCCAGGTCCACACAAAGAATCCGGGGTGAGAGGCCGTGCAGCCTCACGTGGCCTTTCCTTCCGAGCATGCGCAGGCCGGGTGTTAGGGTTTGTGGCTGAACCCCTCTTTCCCAAGGTAGCAGGCAGAGTCAGTGAAATACAACCGTATGCTCTTTTGTACATGTCCTATTAAAGATGCGGAACCAGCACTGGGGTGGGGCGGGGAAGAAGGGATACTAAACTGGGAGGCGAGGTTGTTGGGTTCCTAGTAACCCTCATACCAACCACCTGTGAGCGCTTGGTCCGGTCCCCTCTGGGGTGTCTGGTCCTTCCCACCTCTAAACCGCTGCCGATGACCACCTTTGATGCCGTTTTAAAGTTTCATGCATTTACTTCATCAACACCACGGCTTCACTAATATCATTGCCGCACCCCCGTCACCCCGCATCCCTGGGACATCAGACAACTGGCTCTTTTCCGCGAAACGTGCCCCGCCTTCCCGAACCTTCCTGCCTGCAAGGTGGGCCCGGTGCGCCCGTGAGATGGAAGGGACCTGACCTTCGTGGTGGGGCGGGGCAAAGTCTGCAAGAAGGAAAGCCCGCTTGGTCAAGAGGACATGGTTTTCGTTCTCCTGCCTGCAGAAAAGCCAAGATGTTCACGTTTAAAGCGTGCACACGACTCCTTTTAGGCCTCTAGGGCTTTGACCCTGAAAGTCCCCGCGCAGAAACTCCGGGGAGGGGGTGGTGTGGTGTGTCTAAATATAGCGACGGCCAACTCCCCGCCCTCGGCCGGGTCCTCGCGCGGCTCGGGGACGACAGCCTTCGCTCCAGGATGCGCTCTGCCTCGACCTGAACATCGGGCCACCGGGCGTCCCCCTCGCCCCTCCACGCGCGCGGGTGGGAAGTGAATTAGGGGACCGGAGAGCGACTCCGGGGGCCGGAGCTCAGCAGTCAAGTGGCGCCGCCGCCAGCTGCACGGAGCGCCGCGGGGAAGTGTCCGCCGCCGCCGCCAGGCTTGGGGACAAGGCGGGATGGAAGCGGGGTCCCGCCGGCGGCCTGGAGCCGGCGAGAGGGCCGCGCAAGCCTCACAGCGACGACAATAAAAGGAAGGGCAAAGCGTGGAGGTGCCGCGGCTGCCGAAGGCAGACGGGAGCTGCCGTGGGTGTGCGCCCAGAGCGGGGCCGGCAGAGCATCTCCCTCCGAGGGGCGGCGATAGCCGCCACCGGACTCGCGCCTCGACTTTAGGCTTCTCAAAGGGAGAGGCACTTGGACGCACTACCTCGGAAGCGTCTGCTCTGGCTTTGTGGTGGAACCCCAGTTCTTCCTTCAGTTTAACTTGTGATCCTTTCCTTCCTATTTCGGGGGCGGGGGGGAGGGATTCCACTCTGTTGGAAGAAGTTCCCAAGCCCGGCTTCCTTTCGGCGTCCCCAGCTGACTGCGAGGTTGAGCGGCTTACGGTTTTTGACGCGGGCTCGCTTTAGGCCAGAGGCGCAGCCAGGGACCCCGCGGCCTCCCTCCTCCCCGCGGGCTGGGGGCTTGCGGGCGGCAGGAGATCCAGCCACTCGTCCCTCGCGACGCGTCTCTCACCGCGTAAGTGGCGGCAGACCGGGGTGGGGAGGGGACCCCGCGAAGCCGGTGTCCTGGGCTCTCCATCCTCCAGGATTTTCCCCCCAACCTCTGGGGCCGCCGCCGCCACTGCCGAGACTCGGCCGTTGTATGACTATCTCGGACATAAATGAAAATTTCTTGACGGAGGGACCCGGTTTGTCCTCCCCTGCTTCGCGCGGCTGCCAGGCGCAGCTCGGGGCCGCTAGCTCACCGCGGAGGAGCCACTTTGGAGTTTTGACGCCCTCCCCACACTCCACCCCCGGGCTGGGAGGGATGTCCTGCTACTCTGGTCTGATGCCGGGATGGACAGTCACAGCCCGCCAGCCGGAGTGAGCGGCGGGGAGATGCCCGGTGCCCACCTCGCCGGCTCGGCGGCCGTGTCCTGCGGGTCAGCACCCTGAACGCGGGGACCCGAGCGCCCCCGCCCGGAGCCTCGGCCCGCGCGCCCGGGGACTGGCTGGTACCTGGAGGGAAGGGCCGGGCCGTTCCCGCGCACACCCCTCGCGGAAGGACGGCGGGACCAGCCCGCGCGGCGGCGTAGCGGCGGGAGGGAACGGCGCCTGCCTCTCCCGTCCCTCCTCCGGGCACAAGGCGGGCCGCACCTTCCGGACACCTCCAAAGCGCCGGGGAGAACACGCCGAACTCGGCCTCCGAGAGGGGCTTCGGGGCCCGGCCCCCTCTGGCGTGGGGAGCCCGGGGCCGGGCGTGCGCGCGGGGGAGCTCCCGTTCCAGCCCCGGGGGCGCTTCGCCAGGAGGGAGTATCCGCCACGGGAACGGAGGGGCCGGAGAAGCCCTCTTGGAGTGACGCCCCCGACACGTCCTGATTACGCATTCGAAGCTATAGGCTGCTCGACCCCGGGACTCCTCCGTCTCGTCCGCGCGCCCTTCCGCCCCCGCTGCTTCCCCTCCCCCGGCGCGCAGGTCGAGGGCCGCCGGGCGCCCCGTCCGCCGCCGCCGCCTCCTCGAAAGCGGCCGGCGCGCATGAGGCCGCGGCCCCCGCCGGCGGCGCCCCCCTCGCGGTGCCCGCGGTGATGCCATGCCCCGCCAGCACGCGGGCGGAGAGGAGGGCGGCGCCGCCGGGCTCTGGGTGAGGAGCGGTGCGGCGGCGGCGGCGGCGGCGGGCTGGGGGCGCGCGGGCTGCGGCATGAAGGATGTGGAGTCGGGCCGGGCCAGGGCGCTGCTGAACTCGGCGGCCGCCGGGGGCGACGGGCTGCTGCTGCTGGGCACCCGCGCGGCCGCGCTGGGCGGCGGCGGCGGCGGCCTGCGGGAGAGCCGGCGGGGCAAGCAGGGCGCCCGGATGAGCCTGCTGGGGAAGCCGCTCTCCTACAGCAGCGGCCAGAGCTGCCGGCGTAACGTCAAGTACCGGCGGCTGCAGAACTACCTGTACAACGTGCTGGAGAGACCCCGCGGCTGGGCGTTCGTCTACCACGCTTTCGTGTGAGTACCCGCGCCCCCCGCGCGCCCCCCGCCACCGCGGCGGCGGGGGCCCTCTTGCCTGGTCCCCCGGACGCCCGGCGCAGACGCCCTGGCCGGGCGCGCGCATGCACACACACACACACGTACACGCGCACACACACTCGCGTGCGCACACGTGGTGGCTTTTATTTCTTTGCACGTGTTTAGGGTCTTCCTCCTAGAGCCTCCCAGCTCCCTGAGCCCCACCTCTCTCGCCTCTGCGGAAGGAGCCTTCCCGTCGGCGCTCCCGCTGAGCCACCCGGCCGCTCTGGGCGCCCGGGGGTAGAGCCGGGCAGGCGCGGGACCCCGGCTGCGCGGATAATTGGGAGCGATTAGGTCCCGAGATACGTCCACTCCAACCGTGGGGGGCGCCCGGGAGCTGGGCAAGGCTCAGGGAGGCGGAGCGCCCGCGTGAGGCTCGGGAGAGTGTGTTGGAAAGGTTAGGAGGTGATGGCGGGGTAGAGGCGGCGGGGAGAGGAGAGACGCAGGCCCGGGTCCTGGTCCCCGGGGCGGAGCTGGAGGGGGGCCTGCTGCTCGCGGCGGGGTGGTGGGGGGGAACAGCAGCTAGGTTTCCAGCGCGCCCGGAAACACGCCTCGCAGCTACCTCAACCGCCACTAACGGAAAGTCTGTCAGTGCACGTAGTCCTTCCTGCCACAGTGGTGGCCGAGGCCCAGAGGGGGCGAGAAGGGCCGGGCGAGGGGATCCTCGCTCGGGCGTAGTAGCCGAGGCTGGCGGGGAGCCCAGCGCGCAGGGGCGCGGGCCGAGGTGCAGGGCCGGCGCGCCGCCCGGGACGGGATCAGGCAGTGGGTGAAGCAGGCAGTGGTGGCTTGGAGTCAGAGCGTGTGTGTTGAGGCTTCATCATCTAGTAGAGGATGCTTAACGAGAAACTGATTGGAAGCAAATGTTTATTTTTCCCTTAGGCATTTGAAATCTTTCAGTGCGTTTGAAGTTTACTACTATTTTTCCCGCAATGACCATTCATTCAGTCTCCTGTTAGAGTTAGGTTTATGTGGACATTTTAAGGTAGTTTTTATGCCGTTACGCCATCATCTTTTCTTCTTCTTTTTCTCCTCTCTTTTTAGTTCCCCTTTTTTGCTTTTTTATGTTAAAATGAAATATAAAGACAGCAGCCATAGGAGGCCAGTAGAGAAAGTTTAAGGCACTCACTGACAGGTTCCTTGTTTCCTAGTAAAAAGATTTGCAACACGTGAATTAGGTATCTTTTAGAAATGAGGCGTGTCATCCAAACATAGCTCTCACCTGGGATGGAGGATGGGCATCGACTCCAGAAACATTTTTTGAAATAACATGGATGAAGTGGCTGGTTTGGTAAATAGGTGAGCCTGGAATTTGACCACATAGCAGTCAGGAAATTGGTGGAGTCTACAATCTGTGTGACTCTGGTGTCTGGAAAATTTTACAGCCCCAGATTGATGTGAACTTGTAGCATGAGGTGGAATATTCCAGCCAACTTTCCATCTTACAGTGTACACAAGGAGGGTGTTGTGTAGCATCATTATTACATCAAAAGGTATAATGTGTGTAAGATTCACGTTGCCTTAGATGTGGTTATTGCAGTAAATGCTAGACTTAGAGAAACGCTACTGATACTTTTCACGTTCATGCCCTCTGAGTTGATATATAATGAATCCTATTACCTAATGAGCCTGAAAAATTATTTTGACCTGTCAGGATCCACTAAAACATTTAGCAATATGATTTGTGCTCAATTTGGCAGCAGAATATATACTGTATGGAAATTGGTTTTTTGTTTTTTTACACAAGAGTTTGCTCAGAACATTCATAGCTTTGATTTTACAATACGATGCTATTTAGCGGACTTTAATTTTTGGTAATTTATGTATTGTATATTCAGAAAGGGTGAGAGACAACTTTGGTTGGTGCTTGTGCTTTGTATCTCCTAAGCGTTGCCCTTGAACATGAATGAGGACTTCTTGTCATGCAACGTTCTGTTTTCAATATGTTGGGGTCGAATAGGTTTTTCTGGCCTTACAGAATCTTAAATTTTTGACAAATCATTTTTGAAGAGGTTCAAGTTCGAATAATTCTCTACTCACCAGGCTTTATGGGTCAATCATTGTCTTTAGTGGTAGATACAAAATAAATTATGTTCTTGTCAATGCCACGTGCTGCTGTGAAGTTTTGCGTTACTGATTTCTAGAGCCTGAAACTGTAATGCTTGAGCGATCCGGTAGGGGTGCTAGACCCACATTAGCACAAAGACAGGAGCATCTGCACAACTACAGCGGATGCAGTAGCGGGGGACAGGCCACCTTTGCCAATTGCTACTTATGATTTTAAATAAGCTTTAGAGTAGCTGGATTTCACACGTTAAATTAATAAAGGAAAGTTACTTTGAGCTGTAAGTCTAACAAGACCATTAATAATAAAGGAAGTTATAAGAAAACCATTTCTAAAGCAGTGTAACTAACTAATTCTTTGCCAGCCTGGGAATCCCCAAATCTTACTTTAATAACAGGTTTTGTAGCACATTAAGGCTCTTGCCAAGAACAAGTGCACTGTGATTAATGAGGTACTTCAGGGATGGATTTACTTGGTCGACCCATGCTTCCTTGCCAAGAAGCAAGAAAAGTATGTTTGAAGTTATGTTTCAGGTGATGAAACATTTCTGTTAAATATGCAAAACCCATGATTATAATGGTATTTTAATGGTGTACAATGTGGTTTCAAGTGTTTGTGTCCCAGCCCACTGATGAGATGGCTGGCAAGGACAAGAGATGGCCTGCTGCAAATCCTTTCTTCCAATCTTTATAAATCGGTGGAAATTAGGAGAGTCTGTTCTCTTACCGTTCTTTAGGATGTCTCCTGTTTTCAGCTGTCCTTCAGTTTAATGGAGGAGCTATTCGCATATGAGGTGACATACTTCTTTGAATGTTGTTTGTCCATTTTTAATCCCTCATCTTTTTCGGGAAAAGTGTAGAGTAAATGGTGGTAATAGAGAAACACACGATGGGCTCCATATATAAATTCGCGCCGATGGAACAAATGTGTTTCCGAGAAACAGCAAAGGCAACAGTGTGGCAGACACACGTAACTCGCCACTGTGTCTGGTGCATCTCTGCCAGGCATCATGCCATGGATCAGAATGTATATATGTTTTAAAGTAGAAGAAATCCTCCAGTCATCCAGGTTAGCAGCCCGGCAGTCATCCTTGATCCCTTCATTTTTCTCAGACTCGCTCCCGCTGTCCACCCAAGTCTGTGTGTTCACGCTATAAATATTTTTCAAATCCATTCCCTTCTCTCCTTTGCTACTGCTACCCTCCCTCTCTGTTTCTCCATCCATCCCCACTGGATTATTTATAATGGTCTCCGGCTTCTGTTCTCAGCCTTCCAGCTCTTTGCTCTGACACCACAGTGTTTTTCCCCAAATGCACATCTTATCATATCCCCTTGCCTCTAATCTTTCCATGACTCTCTACCATCTACTCATCTGTTCACTCATCCATGCATCTGCAAACATGTGAGTGTTCACGTGTGCTAATTCCCAAATTCATGAGGCGAAGGCCTCCACTCTCAAGAAGGGAAAAGACCCCAGTGCAAGCCTGTGAACAGGACTGAGACGCTGCTGTTGTAGACGTGAGTACAGAGTCATGTGGGAAAAGAGGAGGAAGTGGAGGTGAGAGCACAAACGTCGGCACAGGCTTTCGAGAGGAAGAGAGGTATGAGCTGAGCTTTGACAAATGACTAAATTTTCAAGTGTAAAAGCAAGGAGGGGGTGAGCAATCTTGGTGGAGAAAATAGCTTAGGCAAAGACGTGGCACTGGAATCAACATGGTAATTCTGGGTACTGTGAGTATCTGCAGTATGAGCACGACCTCAGGAAAAGAGGGTAGAGCAAAAGGCACATGTGCCTGACCTTGGGTGGCTTCAGACGCCGGCCATGGAATCTAGTCTTTATCCTGTAGCTGGTACTGGTCAGTGAATGGTGATAATCAAGAGGGATAATGTCATCAGACACGTATTTTGGGAAGATGTGTCTTTCCTTAGTTCGGTGAATGGATTGAAGGGTGCCAGATGGGACCAGTGTGGCCTGCGAGGAGATGACAGCAGCTGTCCAAGTTCTCCACTCCTTCTTGTATTCTTTTATCCATAAATTCGTGCCACGATGTCTGTCGACTGTCTCCTTTGTGCCATGGACTGTTCTGGAAAGGTGAGAGACGATTGCCTGAGGAGCTTAGGCAGTAACCGTAGGGATGAGATGGAGGGATTTAATTAGAGAGCAGTTATGTAGGTACCATGCAGATTGTTTTCACCAGTCCCACGTGCGGTGTGAGAGAGACGACCCTGAGCTGGGTGATGTGGGGAATGGAAGTACCATTCACTAACATACGGCACAAAGGGCGAGTGGCATGCTTTCAGGGGATATAATGAGTTCCGACTTGCACTTGTTCAGTTTGAAACGTTTGTCAGAGGTTCAGGGAGAGATCGTAAGTGGTAAACACACAATAGTGAACCAGGTACGCACGGTCTCTCTCCGTCGGGTCTTGGATCGGCAGCTAGAACCATTTCTGTCGCAAAGAGAGCAAAAATAAAATATATTTCAAAGAACGACTGCCTTTACAGATCGAGGGCAAAATCTAGATGTCTCGATTAGAGATTCAGATTTGGAGGCTGCCAGCAGTTTTGTGCTGGTGAAAGCAATGAGTGGGACAAGTGAGGTAGCCCAGAGGTGCAGGGTGGGGTGAGAACGTGGCGGAGGACAGAGTGGGGACGCAGCTCTGTAAGAGATCACAGAAGGACCTGGGAAACCTCGACAGTGACCACAAGGCCACAGGGAAAAGCCAGGAGGCCTTCTCTTTGTAAAAGCGAAGGCAGGAAGACATGTGCAGGAAGGAGCTGCCGTCGGCATTTCCGGTGCTGCAGAAAGAACTAGAAGAGGTGTGCTAGGATTTCATTGGTTGGTGACGAAGGAGGTTCCCTGATGGCCTTTGCCGAAG